GGGGGAAAAGGGGGGGGGTGGGGGGGGGAAAGGGGGGGATAAGGACACATATGTAATACCTTAATCAATAAAGAAAAAAAATCATTAAGGCTTAATTTATGCAAATACTGAGCTGAAGAAGCAAGCCCATTGGTCAGGCTCATCTGCCACATTGGCCACCTAGGAATTTATTGTCTTGGTGCCCAGGGATGGGAATCACAAGAAATAAGCTTTTTAAAAAAAAAAAAATTGTGGTGTATATATATAAAATATTTGTATCATAAAATTTACCATTTTAACAATTTTCAAATGTACAATTCAGTGGCATTAAGTACATTCACACTGTTGTGCAACCATCACCACTATCCATTTCCAGGACTTTTTCATCATCCCAAATAGAAGCTCTTTACCCATTAAACAATAACTCCTCACTCCCCACTCCCCTGGCCCCTGGTAAACTCTAGTCTACCTTCTGTCTCTGTAAATTTGCCTAGTCTAGGTACCAACAGAGAAGTCTTAAAAAAATAACGTTGTTGTTTTTATGCAAATACATTTTTTTAAATCCATGCTCAAGGAACACAGAAGAGCAGAAAGGAAAATTACATCATAACATACCATCGTCAGCATTTGCTGAACAGCTTCCGGGACACCTTTGTACACATGTAGAATTCTAGCACTGAGGGAAGAAACATACAGTCAGATAAATTTTATAAAAATGTTTCAAGTTAAAACATGAGTATTTCAAGTTAAAAATTCAATTTCTTCAATTTAACAGAAGAAAAAGGAATTGAAGGTCTTGCCAAACTTGAGGTAAGTGATTCTTCACAACAAAAATATCAACTAAAAAAAAATTCCTCTTTGGTGGTGAGAACAATGAAGAAGTCGGTCTCCTGCTGATTTATTGATCGTGTTTTCAACTTTGGCTGAAGCAAGTGAGACCTTGTGATGAGTGACGGTGAATTCATGTACTTCCTCTCCCTCCTGCTTCCCCTCTGCCCCGGCCCTAAATCCCAGTTGTTAGATGGCTCATTCCTTCTACCTCATCAAGGTGATGACTTTTGCATTCAGAACAGGCAAGTCAGGGTGGGTGGGGTGAAGGGAAAGCAAGGGGACCCAGGAGGCCGAGATGGAGGCCATGGCTTCATGGCACTGGGGCTACTCACCTGGAGCTTTTATTATCAGACTAGAGGCCCGGTGCATGAAATTTGTGCACTGGGGGGGGGGGGGTGGTTCCTCAGCCTGGCCTGTGCTCTCTCACAGTCTGAGAGCCCCATGAGCGATTACCCCAAAGCGGTAGGCCCTACCCACCTGGCCAGGGTCCTGCAATGGATTGTCCCCATAGAGGGAGGCCCCACCCACCCACCGCAGTGCCACTGTGGGGTAGCCTGGGCCTCCCTCTTTGGGGTGATCGTGGAGCCCCCTGATTGGATCAATTGCCCCGCTGGCTGGTGTGCTGGGCCTCCCTCTGCAGGGTGATCATGGGGTGATGGCCTCCCTCTGCAGGGTGATCATGGGGCGATGGCCGGGCCCCCGACCAATTGCATCACACCTGCCTTGGCTGGCTTGGTGCCAGTCCGTGTCATAGCGTAGTTGGATGGTCGTCTGGACAGTTGCCTGGACGGTCGTTCTGCTGTTTGGTCGTTCGGTCGATTTGCATATTATGCTTCTATTATTATAGATTGGAATACAGGAAACCATTCTGAGAGCTGACTATGGGCCAAGCTTATGCTAATCACGACCTTCCATGTATTAAATTCCTCAATCTTACAGCCATCCTGTGATCAATGCTATTGGCTGGATATTTTTATGATTATGTTTGCTGTATGGATAAGGAGCTGAGGCTTGAGGAAGGGACTTGCCGAAGGTCACGAAGCTGAAAGACGTGGAGCGGGACAGTTTGGCTGCAGAGCTCACAGTGTCCTCTCCACTAACTCTACAGATGAACAGACATTGATCTACAGCTTCAACAAGGGGGCTCTTTCTAGTAGGGGCCTGAGGGCAACAGAGATGGTAGAGGGGGCAGCCAACCCTTTATGCTGACATGGTGTATTCCCATTATTAATCTAGTTTGCTCTTCTCCATAATATTCCCATTTGGCAGATGAGGGAGAGAAGTGATTTAACCTCACCAGGGGCACAGGCGGGAGTCATTTCCAGGGCTCACATTCCAGCACCAACCTCTTTCTTCCCTGCCTCCTCCTCAGCCCAGTGCTCTCTGAACCGGACAATGGTACTTGGCCAACTTTAATGGGGGTGGGAGGGCCTTCTTTACAACCAGAAGAAACCCCTTTTGAATGAACATCTGTTAGATGCCATGGAAAGGAAATCCAAGGGCTCTGTGTTAGTTTCCTGAGGCTGCTGGTAACACACTGGGTGGTTTAAAACAGTGGAATGTATTGTGTCACCATTCTGGAGGCCAGGAGTCCAAAGTCAGGGTTCGGGCAGGCTGTGCTGAGGGAAGAAACCTCTTTGCATCTTTCAGCTTCTGGTGGCTTCCGGTGGCTGCCTGTGATCCTTGGTGTTCCTTGGTACATAGATGCCTCCATCTCACAAGGCCCGCTCCTCTCTCAGAAGGACACTTGTTATTGGATTTAGGGCCCACCTTAACCCAGGATAATCTCAAGGTCCTTAATGTAATTATATCTGTGAAGACTGTTTGTCCAAATAAAGTCACCTTCACAGGCTCTAGGCCAGTGGTTCTCAACCTTCCTTTAATACAGTTCCTCATGTTGTGGTGACCCCCAATTTCATTATTACAAATTGAACATAATTAAAGCATAGTGATTAATCACAAAAACAATATGTAATTATATATGTGTTTTCCGATGGTCTTAGGCGACCCCTGTGAAAGGGTCGTTGACCCCCAAAGGGGTCGCGACCCACAGGTTGAGAACCGCTGCTCTAGGCCAACATACCTTTTGGGAGCACTCAGCCCATAGGCTTCATGGTGAATGCCGGACTTGGGAAGCAGCACTCCCCTCGTTGGTGTTTTTGAGCCCATCAATGATGGCTGACAGACAGTCACTCACATATTAAACTCCAGGCCTGTCTGTAACAGGTGGTTGCTGGTGGTACCACCATGAGAACTGGGTTCCACCTCCCAGAGTCATGGCCATTCCCGCAGCAACAGCGTTCCTGCATTTTGCTGAGAGATAGAACTTCTTTGGTGCTATAAGTGCAATTCCTCACTTCGTTCCTGACTAGAAAAAAAAGCATCGAAGCTCAAAGCCCACAGGCTGTCACAAGTCTATATAATGCTGACCTGTCCATCACACAAACACCAAGTTTTGCTCAATGTTTTGAATTGTCCCCAAGTTTATATAGGATAATATTATGAGGTTGGAACATTTGATAAATTATTATTTAGTAGAGGCCCAGTGCATGAATTCGTGCACAGGTGGGGTCCAGCCAGCCCGCCCCAATCGGACTGGGGGTGGGGGCAATCGGGGGCATGGCCAGCCAGGGGGAGGGGCCGAGCTCCCCTGGTCAAACTCCCAGTCGAGGGGACAATTTGCATATTAGGCTTTTATTATATAGGATTTTTTATATCCTCACCTGAGGATATGATTTCATTGATTTTTTTAGGGAGAGAGGAAGGGAGAGGGAGAGAAAGAGAGAACATCGATGTGGGAGAGAAACATTGATTGGTTGCTGATCTGGAATTGAACCCGAAACCTGGGTATGTGCCCTGACTGGGAATTGAACCCACGACCTTTTGGTGTATGGGAGGATGCTTCAACCAACCGAGCCACAAATAAATTATTTTTGAAAAATAAACTGAGGCCTGGTGCAGAAGGTACATTTAAGTCTGCATCCCCTTGTCTGAATTTGTGCCTTTGGCTAAGGGACATGGTGAACTGAGGCCTGGCCTCTGTCTAAGGCAAGCATGTCCAACTCAAAGGCTTAACATGGGCCAAATAAATGAGGCATGCGGCCCACGGGTCACGAGTTTGACATGCTTGCCCACTGCTTCTCTGCCATACTAATCCCTAAAATTCTCCTTTTCTTTCCAGTCCATCTCTTACCAAATTCAATGAGGCTTAAAATGGATCCTTTCTTTGGTACCAAATGT